TCCAGGCTTTCATCACAGCTGGTATTTCTGTGGAATTGCAGTAACATTTGACCCGAATAAATTAGTAGTATTTTTGAAACAGATGTCTCTTAGATAGGGGATAGCCACTATGCATGAGCCCAAAATAACCAATTTCTAATATATATTTCTGCAAGACTTCTCACTGGAAAGAAAAAAAAACAACAGGAAAGACAGTATTAATGACCAGAATTGTTTCTCATTTTTGGTGGAGAATCCAAAATGAATTTACAATGCAATTTGTGTAGTATTACTGAGGAATATTAACAGAAATAAATTTGCCACCTCACTGTCAACACAATCAAGTTTTACGTGTCATTAATGATAAAACAATACAATCAGCAACTTACAGTAATGTTTTTTTTCAATATTTAGAGATATTTGGAAGAAACAAATATATTGAGCCGGGCTTGGATTTTAATATCAAGGACGATTTGTGGAAGTGTGCATATAGAGATACAATCTACATTTACTCATAAATTATAGTATGTAAATAATTTCTACATCCTATTGTTATGGACTCAGCATACTGCAATTAACGGTTGCCAGGGAAATAAACAAAAGAAAAATGAAAGATGCTAAACTCTTCTTTTGAACTGCTTTGAGAGTCGGTGAAAACCGATTGCTGCTGACCCAACAGCTGAACTGTGCGGAAAGAGAGAATACAAATAAAGCTTTTAATATGGACACCATCTTGCAGCGATTCTGATACTCATATGAGGGCTCAATTTCAGACAAAAAGATTAAGGAAGGAGCTTTTCTCTTGATGCTGCTTCAGTGCCGTATAGTTTTTGTTACGTATTTAATCTTTGTAATGTTTGAGTTCACACTTCCCTAATAATTGAAAGATTCTTCTCCTTTCCTTTCTATTCATTTAATAGTGTATGAAATACACATGCAAATACATAAGACAATTCTATTTTTAATTGGGTTATTACAGAGGTAATGTGTAACAAGGATCTTTGCCTGTAACCCAGAGGTCGTAGGTTCATATCCTGTGGTTGGCAGAACCATCATATCACTGTTTAGCTTCGAAGAGAGGGCCCCTAACCCCAACTACTAGCTGACCCTGGACTATGCCTTCAAACTTCCCCCATTTGTGAATCACTTTTGAACTAAAGCATCTGCTAAATTCATCATAATAATTACAATGCAACATATGCATAATGACATAGCCAGAGGTGAGCTACTAGCTTTGGGAGACACAAGGCTTTTAAACCCAGAGTTTATGGGGTTGTCAATCACCGACTAATGGAACCCACTTTATAATAGTTAATCTATTCATTCCCTTTAATTCTATTTTGGCAATGACTGACAGCTCATGGCAATCGCATGTACCATGGGACTGGAAGTTTTATTTCTCCCATTACTATTGCTTTTATTAGGCAAGTATTCATCTAAAAAACTTTTTTTTTTAATATAAATAAATAAATAACCACTTTGCAGTACATCTCTATCACTCTTCATATACAAGGCACAAATGTTATACAATTCATTAATCTAATAATTGAAAAAAACCAAAAAACATATTTTTGGTATCACAAAATTTGGATCAATTGTGATGGATTTCACACATGCATTCATTTAATAAAAAATGTGAGGTTGTTTTCCATAGGACAGTTATCTGTGTGAGTGTATGCATGTATGTTCACTGTGACGGACTGGCATCCCATCCTAATGCCAGGAAACAGACATTTAGGTAAGCTTGAGGTACACATACTGTATATCCTCAGGATATGATGTAAATACATCTAATTAATAGGTATTACGTCAAATAAAAACATAAACCATGCATTTTTTATTGCATTATACATTATTAAATTTAGTAAAATCTAAATAAAAATGCTATTATTACACCAATTCTAAAGTATTTGTACCTCACACCTGACTAAAACAACATTTCATGTGTTTTCAGGAGTAGGAAACATGAGTAGAGTCAAGTTAGCATAATAAATCAATTAAATACCACACAAAGAGGATTAAAGGATTTAATTTGGGTACTCCAGTTTCCTGATTCACCCATAGCGTGTGAGCGTGCTTGCCCTGTGATGCACTGGCTTGCCATCCAGGGTGTAACATTGACTTGTGCCCTAAGCTGTCTGGAATAGACTCCAAGCTCACCGTAACCCTGTATTGCAGTGTTTCCCAATCCAGTCCTTGGGGACCCACAACCTGTCCATGATTTTGCTCCCTCTGAGATCCCTGGCAGACAGTCTACATTTTTGCTACCTCTCAGGTCCAGGGGTGAATTGGGAAACACTGCAGTATTGGACAAGCAGTTATGAAAGATGGATGGCTTGATTAGACTATTTTCTTGCCATACTACATAAAATGTGATGAGATTGAAAGGGAAAAAAATCAAAAAGCCAGTAATTTCTAGTTGATGATTTTTCAGTACGAATGTAACAAATTTACCAGGGTGAACACTACAACCAACCATTTTCAATCACATTAGGTTCAAATTCATAAAACAGAAGTTGACCTCAAAGATACAATTAGCTCAGTAAGTTGAATCCATGTGCAACTAACAAGGGGAGATTATCAATTTCAATATCCAGCCATACAGTAAATATGCCACACTACAAATCCAGCAAACCAGTTTAAATTAGATATGATGCTGTAGTTATGTTTTAGGAAATAATCAAATCATATATAATTCCCAGTTTTGCTTCACTTCTGTCTTTCCATTTCCCTGTTTTTATATTGTTCTCCCTTTTTAATGTTGCACTCTATCACAACACACAACATACCCATTGCAAATTCCTTTGGGGCGACACTGTTGTGAAAGGCGCTATATAAAAATAAATTGAATTGAATTCAGTGATGCATCAACAAACCCACTGTGGTTTATTTTACAACTTTAGTGCATGCCTGTGCAAAAATCTGCCAAGATAGTTTTTTTTATGTAATTGTTAATATTTATATGCCATATTCTCCATGTAGGCAATGTATTACTTCATGCGACTATGAATCACATGCTTACATTCTCAAAACTCTGCTGGCACTTTCAAAGGCTGATTGTGAGCCCTTCCTCCAGTCACACCCCAGCAAAGCCTTCAGCCAAGTGAGTTAAGCAGCTCAATTGTTACTCTAGTTGATCTTATCAAAATACACAGCAGCATAAAAATGTCTGCAAGAGCAGTTTTCCCTGCAAGATAAATCCTTAGACCTACAGTGCTCGTGGTATATTCCCCTGATTTTTTTCTTCTTCAATTAATCAGTAACAGCTGGAGTGTGAATCATATTATGAGAACTATATACTCCTGGAATCATTATGAAACCAGTTATTAAGTTTCAGGGCCAACATGATGGGACTTCACTGCTAATTCATTGATCCAGACTGCGAGCACCTTTTGAAGTTCTGAATGAATGACTGGCCTTTCTCCTTTGCCTATTCAAGAACTTACACTTGGCTGCATATTTTCTGTCTCCTTTGGTAAATTCTAATCTAAACATGGTTTCAAGTTTGAACAAACTACACTAATGTATTGTGAAATTTAATCGAATGGCATAAATTCAAGCTACATATTACCAGTATCACCTTGATGCAGTTTTCTTGAGGATTGCACACATAAATCAGTGGATACATGTTGTGCTTTTCTGAAAATTATGTAATTCTTTTGGTTGGGAAAAAAAACTGAAGATTTAAAAATCAAGCTATACAACTATTTGGTCAAACTATGAGATACAAAAAACAAGAATTAAAATATTGCAACTGGGGAAAAATATGTAGTTTGTACTTAAGCAAGTGATCTTCAGGGAACATTACACAAAACTAATATGAAACCATCAGACAAAATGACTATAGAAGAATGTTCTCTATTACCTGGAAGTCTCATTTAAATACAACCCATTCATCCATCCATCCATTGTTGTGATTTGGTGCCAATCCCTAGAACATGAGATTGGCCATTTTCCTTGGATAGGACACCAGGCAGGTTCCCAGTGCACACAGGCATACGCTGAGGGAAATTTAAAGTCACCAGTTTATCATATCAGCATGCTACTCCACACTGTGAGGAAACCAGATGCCCAGAAGAAACTGAAAAAAAGATGGTAACTGCAGACAAAACGAAAACCTGAAAAAAGGAAAAAGAGTGACATTTATACAGAAGGTGTTTAGAATAATGTGTCTAAACTGATAGCATTCCAATTAATAGTTGTCACTATTAAATCCATCCATCCACCCATCTTCTGTAACCGCTTGCCCTGTTAGTATTACATGCAGTAAATAATTTTAAGCTTTTATATGTATACTATAACCTACACACTCTGGACTACACTATTACATTATTATACATTATTAAATGTTTACTTAAGTACAACTAAATGGCACATCACACGTATAATTTTGCTGCATATTAATGAAGCTCAACCACGCTTAAGCAAATAAAACAACTCCGTCACTGGTTTTCACAACATACGTATACATGCGCTGTCAAATAACCAAAGTTATTACCTCATGGGATCAATAAAGTTAACCTTAACCTTAATTTCTGTATGCTTTAAACAACTGCACTGGAGCTGCACTGCCTGTATAGAGAACGGGCTGCGAAAGGCCGCCATAGCAAAATTTACCGCTGTGTCAATTCTTTTTTAAAGCTATTTTTATTATATAGGCCTACGGTATCGCTAATTGCAGGTTTATTGTCACTCCGAATTTTTCGGAATCCTAGATTTATGTCCGTACTGCACCGTGTTTAAACGATAGATGGGTGACATAATCCAAGACCGTACAGATAATATAATTTTGCACTCCAACGAGTTCTACAACAAGAAAGTTTATCTTAGGCAATCCCTCGGCGCAGGGCAATCCCTCATACGCGTGTGTTTCACCATAAATATAAAAATTACGCAATATGGAAACGGCAGCCGCCGATAACAAGCATGCATGCTGAAATCCCTCGTAAGTAAATGGATGCGAGCTCATTATATTAAAAAGATTAATGCGGCGTAAACGCACATGAGCAGGGAAATATCTCCCCTATCTTGCCTCTAGGTTCCGCTGAGCTCCTCCCCCGTGTTGGGGGGCTTTCGTTTGATCAAATCCTTCAACTTGAACCGCTTCGCCCAATATCACTTTTTACAACAACGGCAACTGTAAACCCGCAACTTGCGAAGCGCTCTCTAATAGCACAATATATTAACAAAGGGGAAAAAGAGGAAGGGGATTAAATACTCTGTGTCATTCATTGCCAGCGGTAATGGAGAGACGGGTCAGATTGTGCCCAATTCGGCAAATGGCTTTTTGCTTCCAGCTTCTGATCTTGACCTCCTTCTTTATCATAACCAAGACGAATATAACTTGTAGATCTTGTCACCTCCCGGTTCGCCCGCGATCTAACGGGTTATTAGAATCACTTCAAGCGGAGAAATTTGCAACAGGCTCCGGAGGGGAAGTTATCAGAAATGGAGACGGGGCAGCTGGGTACGATCCTGCAAGTGATGAAACTCACCGGCGTGAATATCTGGGGGATCCTGACGATCGGCTCTCGGATCCCGGCGAGGACAGAAGCGGGCACCGAAAATGGACTACTGCCCTGAACCGTTTGGGAAAAGGACAGATGTCAGACGGAGAGAAAGTTTTCGACCTCGATATGAAAAACGAGAGAGGAAATAGTGGACGGAATACTATGTCTTCAGCAGTTGTAGGTAACAACATTGCCGATAGTTTGGGTGGCGGGGATCGCAGGCGCAGCGTTGGACTTTGGGGAGAATCGGACCGCGGGAGATGGTCACATTCATCCCCAAAGAAAGGTTCCCTGCCATCGGGCCAGCGCAGGAAGCGCAGCCCATCACTGCATAGATTCGTTCGCTCAGAATTGAGATTTAACAGTGAAGACAGACGGACGTCCAGCTCAAGACAGGACGAGCTGAAACTTACCAGCTCGACTTTCGCACTGACGGGAGACTCAACCCATAACCAAGCTATGGTGCACTGGTCAGGGCAGAATAGCAGCGTAAGTGATGCGCCTTTATTAATGCAGCATGATTCACTGACTCTCAGGTGTGGAAGCAAAGCCCCCCGAAAGTACAACACACCACGTTTAACTGGCGATGCTTCATATTTCTAAAAATGTCACTGACAGTCTAAGAAGATGAGATGGATATTTATGTGCGCGCAGAGTCAATCTTTCCCAACACCCGTCAACAACTGTTCATTGTTAACGGTATAGGCTCAGTCTTTGTCTTTAAATTTACAGCAGATTGAATGTTTTATTAGAAACATTTGAGTCATGTTTAAGACACAAAAGTTGCCTCATATAAAGTTTACATTAATCGGTTTCTTATTATAAACCTACTAGTAATTGTTATCAATTATGTCACGTTCACGTAGTCGCTGTCATACTAAGACATGCTGCTTGCATCTATCAAAATATTCACGGCTGATTAGACGTATCACTGATGCCCCCCGCTACTATAATCTACTCGAAATAATAATAATAATAATAATAATAATAATAATAATAATAATAATAATAATAATAATAGAAGGCATATTTCTCCAAGGGCGTGCTCGATGATGTTGCTCACTATTTAAAATAATAAATATCACTTAGCATCTCTCCTCCTCACGTTGCCCTTGAAAAGTGTTATGATACATGTGATAGCTACGTGTGTACGTGTATTGATTACTTCACTATGTAACATAGCACATAAAATACTGCTATATATTGCTTTTTCAAAAGGTAATTTTGGAAACTGATCAGCCGGAAACCCAATTTAATACACGATATACAGGTTCCCAACACTTTTTTATTTTATCTTTTATTTTTTGCATTCCCTCCAATCCTACGGTTTACTTATGCGTCAGGTAAATCCTTGGTGGCCGCATTTTTATCTTTCTGTTTTTCCCTGGATGCCTGGCGACGTGAAAAAATCTCACAACCGAAGTTGTAAGTATCAGGCGTGAAACACATTCCAGGGGATAAGAGTCTAAGCTACTCCACGTGTAGTTGAAATGTGACATTTGAAAATTCAAATATCGGCATCTTGGGGTACAATTAACAGATCATTATTCTGTGTATTGATTCAGATTTCTCCACCTTTTGGTCATGAAACTGGAATACAAACTTTGCACAAATCAAAAATAGATGTTACAGTACATTAAGTATGCAGTGTTTCTGCTATACCAAAATAGAACTCACTTGTGAGGTTTGTCACTTGCATAGCGCTTTATAAATGAGCACGTGCTTAAATTCCAGCATATGTATGTGTCATATAAGTGTTTAATATCAAATTAATATTGTGACTGTTAAGGCTTTTGAATTATCCTTTTCTGTGGCGCAAGGATTATCTTTTTAAAATGAAAAAGAAATCATTCAGTTTTACTTGTTGCAATGCCAAGTCTACATAAATAGTTGCGTGAACAATTTTTTGGGGGGCAACTTTTGACATACCTTTCAGATAATAATTCTCCTTTGTTATCTGACTGGCATCAAAGTGGTCACACTTTTAATCATACAAATCAAACAAAAACATATACTGACTGGAATCTCAACCAATACAACATACATTTGAAATATGAGTTATATTTTGTTTCTGCTCTGAGTAACAGAATGAGACCACTGATGCACTGCAGTCTGATGTAAACTCAAATCTCCTCCATGACCTTCAAAACCACCATGTCACTCAAACTGTTTTATAAATTGTTTCATTCAAATACTATCATCAGTTTATGAAAGAGATTGCAAGGTATTGATTTTCATTTCGATTTTAATTAAGTAGGATATTTCATCTATTCATTACTTAGAAAACTGAAATGTTTATGTCATGCTTTTTCAATTAGAATATGTGTAGTGTGTGTGTGTGTGTGTTTGTATATTATATACAACTTGCGTAACAGGCATGATGCCCATTACCATACATTGCAATAAAAACATTTTGTTTATCACAGTGATTTCCATTGTAATTCTACTGCTGAAACTAATGAATAACATATTTATTTCATGTTACTTTTTTAGTCAATACAGGCATGTAGTTAATGTGTTATTTGGAAGCAATTAGCAAGTAATGCCTTTATCCAGTTTTGTTAATTTGGTTCATTTTAATCCTTCATGAAACAAGTGTTTATTTAGATTGTTCTTTGTAACATTAAGACGAGACAGAACATTAGCATTAAGCCCATTCTAATTCACTCTTTATTGACCTCATCAGCATAATTTTAGGGAATTTCGAAAAAAAAATCTTTAAATCACGTGAGCTCCCTTCATTATGTTAAAAAGCTCAAAATTTTGTTATTCATTCCCTGGGGTTCCATTAAAATAAGCATATGTATTCAGTAAGTGTTCTATTTTCATATTTTCACTGGTATTCACAGCCATAAACCATTGTTCTTTTCCAGCTCATTTTATACAATGTTATTACTATAGGGTATGCATATTTTGGACACATAATATTAGAATTTTATATTAGCATCACCATTGTAGGTTACTTCTTAGTAAATGTAATGGCCATTTAAAGTGAGATGGTGCATTTGGCTGCTTTTGGCTTACTTAGTGGAGTCTGAAAACAAACTACCTGAAAGCAACTTGTCTCTGTTTGGGAAAACAGCCGTGCCCAGTTTGAACATGTTCGCAAATGAATACAATCCACTATATTTAAATGCACTCAAAATACATATTAATAGTAACAATATCCACATTATTTGTGCTGACTTGTACCTGATCCATTGCTATCCAGCATTGTTAAAGTGTGCAAATGACCTGCATTAAATAGGTGTGAATAGCGGACATGGCGGAATGGTATTCACCATATTCCCCACTGGGCCTACAAAATCTTCAGAGTAAAACAGTTATGTAACATTCTGAGCTATCCTGGAGGCTTAGTGGAGAGTGCTCTTACAGTACCTCAAACCACCAGGGTACATGATTTCATGTTCTTTCTGTGTTGTGTGGATCTGCATTCTGTTTTCTTGTTTCCTCCAGTAGTCAAAAGACATGTGGTTAGTTGAATATGTGTCTCTTAATGTCCCATGGTGTTTGTGTGCACATGCTCTGTAATTTACTGGCAGCCCATCCTGACGATTTCGCTGCCTGGGATAGGCTCCAGGCTCCCCATGTGACGATTTCGCTGCCTGGGATAGGCTCCAGGCTCCCCATGACCCTGTATTGAATAAGCAGTTGGAAGATGGATGGATGGATGGATGGATTTTTTTTTTCCCTTTTGACAGCTGATATTACATAGGGAGACTTTGGATGAGTTTGATTGGCCTGCATTTAATTCACCCAGCACTCAAGAACTATAGAGCAATTATTTTCCTTGATTATCCAAGCTTTCAGTATATTCAGAAATTAGGCCTACATGATATCTAATGAGCTTGAGCCTATATACCAATAGAACTACCACAGATCTGCTTCAAACATTCACTGACCATTGCCTAATTATATATTTTCTACATCATTTTAATTATATTGAGAGTTACATTACCTCCAGCCAGCACATTAGTATTATTTAATGAGCCCTGCTGCAAATGAAAATCGCTAAAATTTCCCTGGGTAATGAATCAAGTTATGAGGCTATCAGGGCTATAAAAACAAAAGTCTCACTATAGCTTAACATTTCCTGTGCCCTTGTACACTGTGTTTGATTACGGTGATATTTATACCGTTTCCCCACCTGATGGCAATCAAACAGCCTCTTAATTTATTTGTTCTCATTGCATACTTTCCACTTCAGTTATTTTAAGGTGACTCCATGCACCTGTTAAATTGCTTATATTTTTGTCTAGAAGGGAAAAAAATGGATCCTTTGCAAGTTAGGTTGTATCTACTGACATTACAACAGAATTTTGTAGACCTTTGATGGGTGTTACATTACCTTAATTTCAGAGATGGACAGTTCAGGTCTAGAAAGTAAAAATCCAGATCAAGATTTTGTGCCAGCCATCCAGTTCAGTACTTTATGACTTTGATTATTTATGCTCAGTTGGTTGGTTGAAACAAAATCTGGATTTTTACTTTCTGGACCTGAACTAATTTTTAAATACATTTGAATCCATGAGTGTGACCTAAATATCCTTTGTAAAGCATAATAACTAATATAGCTAATAATACTATTGGTCAAATAAAATGAATGCCTCGATATGTTAGATTCATATTATAATGATTTGGTGTTAAGCTTTTCACACCAAAGCAGCACAGAATCCGTGAATTATTTGCCTACTTTAGCGGGGCTTTGATATTGCCTCCCTCCCTGCTAAACAAATAATAAAATATCAGTCATGTTTGAAGAGCTCATCCACCAAATGTTGGACTGAAAACCAAACCATCTTGTACAAGTTTAATGCCAATCGTAGTAAATCATTCTGCGCAAAGCCCACTGATTGAACATCATCTGTTCAAATTCAACAACGTGCCACTTTATTTAATAGCTGAATTTTAGCCTGCCTTTAATTGATAAATACATTTGAAATACCTATATCTGCAGTTCTAATATTACAGCAGGCTTTCCAGGCTAAACAAGAGCATTTGTAAACATGACAATGGCAAAGCCTGCCAAAAAAAAGATCTAGTTTGAATATAACATATTTCTTACTTACAGGATCAGCATGTTGGTCAAAATATAACTACAAGTAAGAGATTCGATATGATACCGACAATAGTGGCTGTGTAACCTTGTGTTGAATCACGACTGAAATGCACCTGACATCCTGAATTGTATGTCCTGGCACATAACTTGAGACAATGCTGAATTTAGCTTGGGAATTGCGCATCTATTCTTATAGATACATGATATAAGACAATTAATAATAAATGATAAATTATGGCATACATGTAATTATATAATTATTTTTAAAAGCAATAAATGGAACATTAAGACGTAAGGCACGGCTACTTCAATATGTTTATATGTAGTAGGAGCATAGAGCGAATGTTGCTGGATGCATGAATACCTTTGTCTGTTTGAACTCCCGAGCTGGGAAACATTTTCTTTTTAAAGCTGCTATATAATGACACAC